CTATATTAAATTTACTCTCGTTATAACGAACTAGCCAATCAAATTCTTTAAAAAATTCACTATAGCTCTATAGCGAAATTGAAGTTCAGGACATAAAATTCGTTATATCAAGGGTTGACTGTAATTGATTATTTCAAGAATATATGGATTAGTATGTATAAAAATCATGCTGTGAAACTATATAAATCATATGATCAAAACCTGATTTTTATATGTACTAACCTATATTAAGATAGCAATTTTCCTATTACTGCTTCATAAGATGTGAGAGATATTTCATAAGCTATAATTTTTCCATTGATCAAACGAATGCTAATAGGAAGCTTTTATTCAGTTTCATAATATTTGATGTAGACTTCAAATGACACATTTTCTTTGATAATAATTGACTTCTCACATCTATTTTTTTCTCTTAAACGTAAGCAATATCCTTGACTTGATTAAAGCGATTTTTACTCAACTGAAGTAAAGTCAATTATATATGGGAAAAGTTGTGAAAAAGTTGAACTAAATCATACAAGATTTAAAAAAAATACATTTTAGAGATAATTTTTTCTTTTTTTATTATTAATAGTAAGTTAATGAAGTTAATAGATTTTAAAAAGGATAGGAAAGCAATTGCATATAACTACTCACCTCTGGGTTATAATGAGAAACTTGAATATGAATCATATATTACATATCAGATTTCTCAAATATATTTTTTAGAATGAAAATAACAAGTTTATATAATAATATAATTTCTGATAAATCATATTATTATAAGAATTTTTCAATTTCTGTTCTATCACTATGATATATTTCTTAAGTTTTCAGCTTAATTGTTATCAAAATCAGGCATCTGAAAGAAAGAAGAATTATGCGGATGATGAAAAATTGTTAATTTAATCACAAGATTTTTCACCCACGTGACTTTGCCGGCATTACGGCATTAATAAATTATCTATGTGACAAATAGTGGCGTGACAAATAAGATTGGATGTGACACGGAATGACAAATAATTTAAATCATGATCACAAATATCATGTGATGATTACTTAAAATTGTGTCATCTTTCCTAGTTTCAAATTTTTTAATTTTTTTTTTTTTCTTACATAAAGCAAAATTTACTAACTGTATCATAATGGCAAATAGGAAATTACAAAGTAAGTTATCCCGATTTTCGTATGTCTGATCAATTTGGAAACATAAAAAATCATTTTTTTATTGTTAGCCGAGATCGATCGTGTTCTTAAGAAAGTGGCGGAAGGAGTAGAAACATTTGAGGGCATTTTCGACAAAATTCAAGCAGCAACCAATTCTAATCAAAAAGAGAAGCTAGAACAAGATTTGAAGAAGGAAATTAAAAAACTTCAAAGAAATCGGGATCAAATAAAAACATGGATTTCATCAAATGATATAAAAGATAAACGGGCACTTACTGAAAACAGGCGCTTGATAGAACAGGTTTGGGTCTCATTTATATTTTTCTTAAGAGGATAAGAGGTGCGCTTTTTATTATTTGATTTTTTTTCAGTTGTATATAAGGACTATTCAAGCGTAAAGAATTATAAATAAAATAAGTTTAGAATCAAATGTCTTTGTATTATCTTAAGAATGATGAGCTTAATAAATTTATAAATCATTTTACAAATTTAAAAAAAAAATTTTTTTAAAATCAAAAATGCTATATTTTCTTTATAAAACTTATGTTTAGCAAATGGAAAAATTCAAAGCATGCGAGAAAGAGATGAAGACAAAGGCTTACTCCAAGGAAGGTCTACAGCAGTCAACAAAAATGGATCCAAAAGAGAAAGAAAAAATGGAAACCTGTGAATGGGTAGCAAATCAAATTGATGCCCTAAGTACTCAAATCGAAGCTGCTGAGGCTGAAGTAGAACAATTACAAAGTGTTGTGAAAAAAGGTCGGAAGGATTCTCAAAAAGTTGAACGATTGGGTGAAGTGGAGAATATGATAGAAAGACATAAATGGCACGTCAATCGTTTAGAATTAATATTGCGGCTATTAGAAAATGGTAACATTCCCCCAGAAAAGGTCTGTATTAAAAATATATATGTATTTATTTTTGTAATTATGTCTGTCTTATTTATTTATTTGCTTTAAGGTTATTCAAATTCAAGAGGATATTAAGTATTATATTGAAAGTAATCAAGTAAGTATAATTACAGAGACGAAGCATTAAATGATTTATTACTTAAATTTAATCTTTGATGTTTAAGGATCCTGACTTTTCTGAATTTGAAAACATATATGATGAATTGAATCTTGAAGAGGAGGAGGAGTTATGGGGTATCACAAATGACGATCATCATAGTAGTCATGACTCTGTGACCGATGGAGGTATTTAACCATTTTGTAAAATATATAAATTTTTGCAATCATACAAATATCTTATTTTATTGTATTTTAGGTGTTTCATATACAGAACCAAGGACACCACAAAAAGAGGCAAGGATCTTAATATTTAGATGTAACATAACAATAGTTGAGATTTAGTTCGCATATTTTATCATTGCCTTTTATAAAACATCATATTGTTATAATAGCTATCAAGTCCTTCAACTTCACCAACATCAAGAATTGAAAGAATTGTTCCTAAAACTACAGTTCCTGCTCCATCAATAAGTACGATATTTAAAATTTTATTAATTCCATAAAATTTCATAGCTTAGGAATGTTTAGCGTAAATGAAAATCATTATAAAAATTTGTTTAAAGATGTATGGTTGATTTTATTACGTAGATAATAGCACTGTTTTTGACACAGCTCCTCGACTAAAGGAAGAAGGTATAATTACGGATAGATTATAATTTTAAAGATTAGTGATTAATATTATGTTTTTCATTTTTCAGATAAGCCAAAGCTTCCTCCGCTATCAACGCCGGCTCCAGCTCCGACAGCAACACCAATACAAACCCCTACATATACAACTCCCGTATCTACGCCTGCAACTGTTAATAACCTTCAATCTCCATCGCCCACATCGACAACATTCTCCCAGGCGAAAGTTGCACCACCTTCTACTACAGTACAAAACCGTACTATAGCATCGGTAGCGCCAAAGCAAGGTAAATCATTTTGTCCGTATCTAGGCTTATTTATTCCACCACCAAAATGCATTAAATTCCTGCACATATAGCGACACCGTCAGTGTCATTACCACCAACGCAATCAATACCACTTTCACAACCACCAACACAACCACAACCACAACCACCGTCACAATTACCATCACAATCTCAGCCTGTTGTTGATACTAAAAAGGGTTAGAAATTATTTTAAATTATTTGAAAATTCTCAAATCACAAATAATAATTTATTTTTTTAGATGTTTCACATAATTTCGCTGAAATAAATAAACAACAGTTTTCTCAACAAACAAATGATATTCAGGTTATTTGACTTTAATAATGCAATTGATTTATATTTCTATTATTGTTTTATAATTATAATTTTTTTATTAGCAAATTCAAACACAAATACCAATAATTCAACAGCAAGTCAATCCTCAATCACAAGCGCAAACTCGCGAGAGTATACCTGGAACGCCAACTGCAACCATACAGGTTTGAAACGTTTATGAAATCATATAATAGAAATATATTTCTATTTTTTAATTGAACTTATTATATTTATCTTTATTTTCTAATAGCCTATACAACCTCCAGCAGATTCTAGCGCGTCTGAACATGCTAAACAAGAAAATTCTTCCAATCAGGAATCAACTACTTCAGAAAATCGTATACCGGCTGCACTTACAGATTTAGTACGCTCATTTGAGGCAGCCGAAGAGAAATGTAAGCATCGGGGTACTACATCACGCTTTTTATGATGCTTATGATTTGAGCTTTGGTTTATTTTTTAATTAGAATTCTACATTAATTGTTCTAATTTTTTTATTTTTTTAAATATAATAAATATAGTTTTGAGTAAGGAAGATGGATATCATACCCAACAAATGCTTGAGGCCAGTCTTCAATACGTACCAGAAAGTTTGGATTCCGAAAGGTAAAATGAATTTGTGATATTTATTAATAATTTATTCTAAATTATTTTAAATTGTAATTAGGCCCAAATATTATGCACCACGAAATCCATGTCACACATCGACATTCTATCCACAGAATCCACCAAATATATTTGATAATCCAGCGTTATTCGAGAAGTTTGATCTTGATACACTCTTTTTTATATTTTATTATCAGCAAGGAACCTATCAACAGTATGTTATAGAATTTAATAAATTTACATAGTTTATTGAATCTTTCACTAAAATTTTCGTTTATTAAGATATCTTGCCGCTAGAGAATTAAAGAAGCAGTCATGGAGATTTCATAAAAAATACTTAACATGGTTCCAAAGGCATGAAGAACCAAAGGCAATTACTGATGAATATGAACAAGGTACATATATTTATTTTGATTATGAAGGTGCTTGGTGCCAACGTAAGAAGACGGAATTTAGGTAAGTAAAAATTTATTTGTTGACTAAATTCTCGACAAATGTATTATATCTAACTTTATATTTTATGTTTAGATTCGAATATCGATTTTTGGAAGATGCAGAATTGATATAAATAAATCTACAAACAAAATACATCATAATGTCAACATGAAGCAGTAGGTTGAATGTATAAGTAATAATAAATAATAGATTGTATAAATTACGTAATTTACCGAATATAAAAACATTTAGCCAGATTCAAACATTTATTGACTTCAATGAACAAATATAAAGGAATTTTCTTAAATTATTAAATCCTTTGCGAGAAGGTTTTTACATTCAATAATTATACATAATAAATACGCAAATTCATTAAATAAAATAATAAATTATCATAACCATATTTTATATTGGCAAATATTAAAATATATTATAAAAAATAAATTAGCTGATATTTTAAGTGTCAAATTTGCGTAATGCGATATAGCCAAACTATAAAAAGAATTTATACACAAAAAATTTTATTTTCTATTTTTTAAAAACAAATTCTTTGTTTAAATTAGCTGAAGTTTAAATATTCTATATAGTAAATAATTATTTTATTATTTTTATTTTTAATATAATTAGATAAATTACTTATCATATAAAGCTTTATAATAGAAAGAAGTGAAAATTCAATTTTAATTTTATATGCCAAATATGATTTTTTCAATCAAAATATATAAATGAAACGTATTATTATATACTTATTTTTAAAAATATATAGTAAGATGATTAAAGATTTGCAGTAAAAAGTACAAAACTAAAAAATATTATTCGAGTTAATGTCTAATTTCATTTAATATATATTGTATTATTAATTTTTAGCTGATTATAAGTTAATTTTAAATGCAATTTTTAGTAAAATGAATTACTTTATATTTATAATTTTATACTTATATTTAACGTATTATATTTATTATAAATATTGAATTAGAAATTAAATAATTTATTAAATAATTATTTTTCTGCAAAATATTTATTAACTAAAAGAAATATTAAACGAAATTTTAATTGTTTAATTTCAAATTAGCATAAAGATATATTTATATTATAAAAAAAAAGAACAAAGACATGAAAAATATAAAAAGTGAAAAAAAGGTGAAAAATTATATATATATATATATCAAATTACATATTCATGATCTCATGAGAAATGAAAATTATGCTTCACGGATCTTTAGAATTTAAGAACTAGATACAAAAAAAGTTTAGTATATAAAAAACAATTTCCTCTAACTTTCTACAAATTACTTGAGCGGTGAAGATTATTGAAGAAATAAAAACAATTGTATACTATATACTAAGTGTTAAAGAATCTTCTTTCTAACCTTTATAGAACCCCATAATACTTATCACACTAAATAATATATTTAAAAAAGCCAACAGACTGTGTGATATAATGTTCACTTGAATAATAATCCCTCAATTTAAACCAAAAGATAAAAAAAGTAAATTGAAAATAACAGATTACGGCAATCCCTTAACCACCAAATGCCTGGATTTCAATAAATCTAACAGCAACCTCCACTTTGTTGTTGGGGTACCGATGTACCGGGTCCAACTTTAACGGTTTGCTTCGGAGTTCCATTAGAGACAGTTGTTGTGCCCATCCTGTTAAAGAAAAAATATGATAAATCATAATCTGTATTCAAAAAAAAAGTCAACAATTTGCATTTATTTTCAATACCTGTCCTTAATTTGTTTGGCCATTGTCAAGAAAGCTTGTTCGACATTCGTAGCGTTCTTCGCCGAAGTCTCCAAGAAAGGAATATTCAATTGATCGGAAAATTCCTTAAAAATAAAAGAATAAAATTAAAAATTGAATAAATAGCTTGGAACCTGAAATTCAAAGCTTCAGAAAACCTGAACATGGTTGAAATTGACAAGCACCTTAGCAACTGTGTAATCTACTACTTTTTTATTCGCCAAATCGCTCTTATTTCCAACCAACAATTTATTAACACCTTCACAAGCATAACGGTCAATTTCCTGAAGCCATTGTTTAACATTGGCAAAGGTATCTTGATCAGTAACATCGTAAACAACAATGATTCCATGGGCTCCACGATAATAAGAAGAAGTGATTGTACGGAATCGTTCTTGACCAGCAGTATCCCACTAATATTTAATACAATTAGTAGTTGTCCTTAATATACAAAATAACTTTATATTATAAGGTAACATACAATTTGTAATTTTACGGTTTTGCCTTCAAGATCGATTGTTCGGATTTTCTAAGTTTTCAAATAACAAATAAATATCCGCCTCGTTAGATTATATCTTTCAGGTTATACGCTTCCATCGAAATTTAAAGCCTATATAGACAAATACTGTAGCTTATATTGTTATAATCACTTACAAAATCAACACCAATAGTACTAATATAACTCTCCGTATATGTATCATCTGCAAATCGAAGCAGCAAGCATGATTTACCGACACCAGAATCACCTATCAACAGAAGTTTGAAGAGATAGTCACTATAGTTTATAATAAATAATCAAAAAATATTAGAGTTGATATGTCACAATTAACAAAAAGAAGTTATTTATATAGAAATTTTTGTAGTTTGAAAAATAGATAACAAAGTTCACGATTTAACGTGGCGCAGAATAGCAACGAGATGATGACCAAGAGTAAAAAACAAAAATAATACGAAAGATAACATAATTAGAAACAAAATTCATAACGCTAACAGTTGCTTTATAAATCAAAACCGTTAGTTCAAAGTTATGTCAATAGTTGGTTTTCTCAAGGACATCCAAATTATAAATCTAGTTAACACAATGCAGTTCAGAAAGTAAAAACTTCAAAGTTCGAATAAAAACACCTCCAATGCCAAGGAGCAAAGGAGACCTTTACTTACTATTCTGGATTCATATTGTAAGTTGTGAAAATAGAAGTCAAATGGGCAAAATTAAGAGTAATTTGACCGATAGAGAAAGGTGTTTTATGGTCTTGTGGTCACGATAAGAAAGATAACTACTTTGTAAACTATAAAGGAAGGAGGTTAAGTGGCGATGTCTTGATTATATATCATATATAACATGTGGCGAAGAAAAGGGAAGCCGCATGACTAACGATTGGCGGATGTTATATTCATGTTTCAGTTCATGTGATTGATGTTGATTCAACCCTGATTTAGTAATGATTTATATGAATGTTATGAGGCTGATGTCATCTCGAAATTCTGATATAATCTGTACACAAATGATGTATAAGTTCGAGAATTTTATTCAATTAGTTTTTTATCATAAGTCAACGAAAATAATAAATATTATATTAGATTGACTAATAATACATAGCAATAGTGGTTTAAATTGCATTATTTAGATAGATATAATTAATTATACTTTAACAATTGATAATATTTCTTTATTGACATTTTGTTCTCGAGTTTTATCTCTTGAATCTCTAATAATTACAAAATTCATCAAAATAATCTTTTTAAAATTTCTATAAACAGAGAAGCATAACCATTTGTTTTGTAAGATTTGCAAATATAATCCTTTTTTATCATTCTCTCATTATTTATTATCAGATATTCACATCTGTATTTTCTCATGTTAATTATGCAATCTGTAATGATTTTAATGATGTAATAATGTTAAAGATTTATCTTAGAATATTTTCATTTTAACTTTTTTTTTAATTGATATCAAGTTCAACTATATATTTTATGTAACTTAGATATCTGAAAAAATCCTTCAAATCTATTATTAATCAGATTTTATTCTATTTATTATACATTAAATATTCTTTTCTTGCAAATTCTACATTTTATAAGAATAAATAATCATTTTATATAAATTTTAATGAGTTAAATTATTAACTCAATCAAAAAAAATTAATAATTAATTTAATTATAATTATAATTTAACTCAACTTGACTCAAGTTAATTTATTATAAATCTTTATTAGAATAACAGTAAATTTGTTTTAAAATAATAACGAAAAGATAGATAAATTATTTTAATAAAAAGATAAATCATTAATTTAAAAAAAACAATATAAATAAAAATATAACTTTTTATAAAGCTCTAATAGATTAAATTAAATCAAATTATAAATTTAAAATAATTTAAAAATTATAAATAAAATAATCTATATTAAAACTTTTCATATTAATCTAAAATTTTTATTATTAAATCTAATATAACTTTTATATGCAATTTTTTTAGTTTTTTTCTAGCAAAAAAATATTTTAATTTTTAAATGTGATTTTTATTGATTTTTTTAATAAAAATCACATCTGATTTTTTAAATGCAATATTTTAAATTATTTTTCTAATTTTAAATTTTTAAATATGACTTTTATTAGTATTTTTTATAATTAAAATCACCTTTTACTTTCAAATTAGTTTTTCTAATAAAGAATCACTTTTAAAAAAAAGTTTAAACATGCTTTTATTAGTTTTTTTAAAAGTTTTTTTTATAATTATATTTTTTATAAAGATAATTTTAAGTTTTTATAAGTATTTTTTTTTGAAATTTAAAGCATTTATTTTAAACAGAAACAAACTGAAATTCTAAATAAAATCAATTTAATTCAGTTTAAATTAAATTATTATTTAAAAAAAATTCTAAATTATTTTAAATTTTTTAAATAAATTTTTTTTTTTATAATTTAAATAAGTTAAACTTAAAAAAATTTCAGATTAAACTAAGTTTTATTCTTTAGAATAATAAAATAATAATTTCTATTAAGAAGTTAGATGCTTATAAGTATTTTTAATAAAATATAATAATATATATTAAATATTATTATTACTTTTTTATAAAAATTTTATAGGACATAAAATAGCTTTGTAAAATTGGTAATTCAAATATAACAAATCATTTAAAGTTTATTATTAAAAAAGAAAAAATATACTATTTTTAGAAATAATAAAATTATTTTAAAGAAAAAAAATATTATTTTAGAAAATATTCTAATAAATGATAATAAACTATTTTAAAATGTATAATAAACAAATAGGAGTTTAATATAGGCATAATTGGGGATTCTGGTGCAGATTTCTAAAAGTTATCCAGAAAGATTCCTTTCTGCCTACGAACCCAGTTTGCTATATGATTTCCAATATCAAATTTAAAGCTCTAGCGTTTTTTTGACTCAAATATAGATAATATTATCGAACTTGGCTAGGAATTAGCCTGTTTGATACCATGAAGTATACTGTTTGATATAACCATTCTAGCCTGATTTTAATCCCAAATAATATATCAAAAAAAATTT